GCATATAGCTGTCATACAAGCTGATCGATCCAAATCAAGTCCTTGTAGAAAGCTACTGTTTAACTTCGATTGCCGAAGCTACATATAATGTTTGTTTGGTTTTTTTTTTTCTTTTCTAATTTCTTCCCTTCTCTTCATTGGCACCCGCATACTGCAACTCTCAACTACAGCACAATGCCCATATTTACAGCTGCCTTGGCAAATCCAGCTGCTGCCTTTAGCTGGTGCCAGGTATTGCAGCGCCAAACAGCAGAGCTTCTCCAACACTTTGAGAACCCACTTGCAGCTACAAAGGTGCTTAGTATTCTGTTTGGGTGCACGCCGGTGTCACTGGCTTTTAAATCGGGCCAAGTTGGCCAGCAACAATGCGGGATACATGTTTTCAATATTAATGCTCAAGGCTTACACGCACACAACTGCAAAAATATTGTTGCTATATATTTGTGTATATAGACGCACAATCAAATCGCTCTAAACCAGGGGTTTTAAATCTAAGAAGATATCTACATAAATGTGTATCTAAGCACAACTCAATTCGATGAAGAAACTCGTTTCTTGGCTCGTTACTTGGCAGTCAACTAGCAGCTAGCGCTAGATTTGTTGAAATAAACATGAGTCTCAAGCCAAGACTACACAGCAGACGGCTCAAAACAGATTAACAAAAAAAAAAAACAAAGACAACAACAAGCATTGCTACCAGCTACAAAACAAAAACAGCAACAAAGTAGCTTGTGAACAAAAAGAATTAACATAAAAAGAACAACATTTGTCTTGTACTTCAAGCGAACGAGTTTAAAGTGGTTTTACCAATACAGCGACAAGCTTGACGCGCAGTAGCAGCCATCTTAGCCACTGCTGCATGCCGCTTTTGAGCTCGAAACAAGCTCCCCTTTAACACACAGGTATAACATACATATACATACATATGTATGAAAACATATATACAAACGGAGTGACTAAACATAAATTCAAAACCGGCTTGACGACGTAGCTCTACCCCAGCTACAAATATTCCCCAACCAAGTAAGCTGAGCTCGTATACTTTATGCTCTCTAACCCGTAGTATGCCAGTTTTTCAATTGGGGGCATTTATCCACTCCAGCAATGGTAACAAACAGCAGTTGCAACATTTTTGTCGCATCGAACATGTTCTCAACACATTCACGCCTGTTTGATGTTGCTTGCTGCTTTTGACTGAGAACAGTTACATGTTGCTGGCATGCAATTTGCGCAATAGTTTTTAGCAACACTGTTGCTGGTTATTCTTCATTGGCAATGTTGCTTGGCGCAAAGACAGGGTTGTTAGCGTGTTGCTGACCGGTTTGCTTCAATTTTGTTGATTTAAGCTGCAAACTTGTTCGCAACGAACAATAATAAAGAAACTTGTTGATTCAAACCGTTTTAATGGATTTGCGCAAAAGTTGTTGTAAGACTGGTGGATGCAAATCTGCTAACAAATTTTGAGGGAAAATGGATTTTAAATGGAAATTAAATGAAGTTGTTATTAAATACAAATGAATCCTGTTTTTTATTTTTTTTTTTTTTTGCAGAACATATTTTATAAATGTTTTTCAAGCAACACTTCCCTATTTCTATCAATCATAAAGATAACTGAATAGTTTAGTTTAAATAAAACAAGAAAAAACGTTAAATTCGGCTGCACCAAAGTTAATATACCCTTCATAGGTACATGTCTTTTAGCAACTATGTGTTCAGTTTATATGCTATAGTAATCCGATCCGAACAATATTTTCGGAGATTATATTCTTACTTTAAGCAGTAATCCATGTTAAATTTCGTGTAGATACTACGCAAAATGCGAAAGTTTTCTACACAAGCCTTTGATTCCGATCGTTCGGTTTGTATGTTTACTCACGAATATACTCGAATATCCCTAATCTTTTTAGTATACCGAAAGTACATTTTTCCTCTGTACAATGCCTTCCTCTAACGTTTGATATAAATATATTTTCTGTACACTAAAAAAATATTCTGTCATCGTATGGTTTAAACTCTCAACTATTTAGATTTAGATAAATATAGGTTACGTTCTGATGGCAAATATTTTAATTTCTTTTTAAAGTCTAAGGACCTACAATCAGACTTTGTATTACTCACAAAGTGTGACTAGAGGACGCAGAATAATAAAATATGCGAACCTCTAGCCATTAAATTGAAGTTCCGAGACACCGTCTCAGTTTTTCTGTCCGGCTGCATATGAGACAGTGGCAAAAACGTGTGTTTAAAATGTATTCTTAGTCCGAAGCTACAACCAAGAATTATATTAATTAATATAACTTATAAATGTGAGACAAAGTCAGCCAGGTGTGAATGAATGACAATTATATTATTAGTTTCCCTTTAAGAATTAAAAAAACGGGAATCATGAATTGTACACAATTTTCGTAGCATTGTTTATGAAATCTTGTCTGTTCATCAGATATAATTTGAACGAAATATTATCAATGTCTGTGTCCGGTAATTGGAATGTATTCAAGTCCGATTAAAAGAATTCATAATACTCAAATAGCATTCCTTGTTGACAGGGCCACAACTTCATAATCAAAGAAAACTGTTAACATAACCTTGATTTTTGACCTTCATTGATGTGGTTTTTTGGCTTTTTGGCTTCGGCCAAATGATTTTTCAAAATGATTTTCATTGATCCTTCCGATATTCCAACGATGTCAGTAAGCTCTCTGACTGTTAGTTGTCGATTCTCAAACACCAATTCCTTTATTTTATTGACGTCTTGATGATCAGTTGCTCTTCATGTTATAAACGTGTTTCGTCATCAACGCGTTGTTGATACTCTTTGAACAATTTGTATCAATCAAAAACATTTCTTCGCCACAAATAATCATCGCCGAAAGTATTTTTCAAAATTCTGAACGCTTCGGCATCAGAAATTTGATTCCGCGCACAAAATTTAACGAAACAACTTTGTTGAATAATTTCACTAATCGTAAAAAACGCCGAATGCACTTTATGTGCTTCAGAAAGCCAAGTGTATACTAAGGGCACAGATATCACTGACAGTCACACCAATCTAGAAAAAAATATGTTGACGAATATTCGAATATTTTGAATAAATATTCTTACCATATTTTGCCTCCATCCTTATTTTATATGAATAAAATATATACATATTGAAAACTATGGCATTGAAAATGGACTTGCTGCAAGTCTTTTTAAATAGAGGATAATTCCAATCTTGGTGTTCGCCTTTTATTTGACTTTTTCAATCCTTTAGGTAAAACAAAAAATATTTTTTTTTTCCTATTACTTTCACTTAATATATAAAATATTAAAATCTATTCTGACAAATTTATTCCATTTCGATTAACAACATTATATTAGATATATACGTATGTATACTATACTAGTCCCTCAGTTTTTCAGATATCGTTCTGAAATTTTGCATACGTCCTTTTCTACTAAGAAGTTGCTCATTTCTTTGAGCCGCCAACCATGTTAAACTATTTAATTTTACTTTATTATTTATTAAGCATATTTCCACCGCGTACTAGTTATTTAATAGGTACAAACATTTTATTAAAATTACTATGTATTTAATTCTATATATTTCTTTCATACTATCATAGGTATGTATTTTAGCTAAAAACGTACTTATCTTCTGAATCTAATTCCTTATTCCGCTTAAGTTCCTAAGAAGTCAATCACTTTAGCACAATCTCTTTCACCTATTGTGAACTATGCTGACCCCTACCTGCATTTGCAGTACAAAAGCAATTGAAAACAGGAGAAAAAAAAAACGGTAATGCATTTTCTTTTCAGAAACCGCACATTAGTTGCAACATAAGTGCAACTGCAAAACCAGTGCAACCGGTTCGACGAAATCGTCAATAATAGTTCATGCAATATGAGAAGCAAAATCAAAAATCAAACCAAAAAAGAAATAGAAATCAAAACAAAAGCATGAGCACGAAATAGCGTAACACGCCAGAGCGCGGCAAACCTAGAAAAAGGCGGCAAATGCGAAGAGGCAAATTGTGCAAGCGTTGCATTGGAAAATTACAATACTGGTCTAAGAGATAATTTCCAGTGGCTTACAGCACTCTCAGCATGATGCCGCAACTATTTGGCAGACACAAACATTGTGTTTCAACACAAGTTGCTGGTAATGTTGCGGAGTGTAGGGATGGAGGAAAATTAATTGAAATTTTATTATTTTTTATACTAAAATAT